TGTAGTGAGTCACGTGAGGTACGTGTCACTTGTTGTATGACAAATATATGAATTATATATGCATACAATATTCACGAGTTCTTCATTTTTCTGACTGTAAATGTCGTGCATTGAATTTAACAGAAATGTGAACGAGAGACGTTATTTATCTTTGACCCATCAAATGAATGGAATCATTTATTTTCAAAATCAAAGTTTAACATCAAACATTTACATTAATTTGGCAAAATATGAAAATAATAACAGACAGTTTCACAGAAAATGAACTTCAAATCACTCGGCGGTGATTTGAGGACTTTGCTTAAGATATTTCTAAAATATCTGTACTGATTTATGAGAGAGAGGTGGGTTTTAGAGTAAATTGAGATTTATCTTACAGAGGAATTTGTGAGGGAGATTTAATCTGTTTAACCAGAAGTTGCACGCTCCGTCCGATCTCAGCTTCTCACGGTACACTTGGTCAAAATAGAACCATCTACCTGTTGACGATGAATCAGCGTTGGATGTGGTTCCTTTCTGACTCGTTTCAGCGTCTCCGTCGAGAGCTACCAAACCTTCAGAAAGTCGTGCGTTGATTAGCTCAAAACAGAATTATAATCCCAAAAAACCTCTGGATTCTTCATTGCTCTGAAGCTTTCAGAACCGACTGCATTCTCAATCTTTGAACTCTCATTCCCTTGGAATTCTGAAAATCTCCATCAGCTCTCATTCTCTTGGACTCTCAATCTAACTTGAACTGGGGAGTTGCCACATTTTATTTGGGTCGACTTCCTGTTCAATTTAGAGCTTTCTGATTCGTGGAAGGACCAGAAAGAGGAGTGGTTTTTGACGTAAGGTGTTTATCAACAGTCGAGGTCAGAGAATGAAACTTGTTTAACATACAGAAAAGATTATTGCAGAAGCAGCAGACTTTTTGGAGTCTACTCTTAGTAATCTTCTGGAAAAGTTTAAACATGACATTTCTTCTTCAGTAAACATTTTAGTTGACCGAAGACCAACCTTTCACATACTTACGACAGCTTGCTCATTTCAGACAGAAAAATCAAGAAAGGCATATTCAGGTGATTTCTGCTTTGAATGAGGAACAAAAATCATTACTTACTGTTTATGTAAAATAAAATTTAGTAGTTCTTTTCAACCTGTAAAGCATTGAGTGAACTAACACAATTTGATTATCAAAACATTTGTAAGACAGTAATGATTATAAAGAATTGTCTTTTCTGCTTGATTAATTCAAGAAAGAAAGTTCATCAGATGGTTCAGACTTATTCAGATCAATGAAAATAACAGTCTCTGTCCATCTGGTAGATTTGAGGTTATCTGGTTCACTACAAGTGAGTCTCATCCACTCGCTCGTCTGCTCAGATTAAAATATATACATTTGTGTCTTTATATGTTTCAGATCCAGCAAGAGGAGAAACTCTTCCAGCAGGAGTCTCCTTTTAAACAGAGTATCTCCGAGCAGTCCTGTAACACCCTGTTAACTGCTGAGAGACATTTTGTCTTCCGGTGCACCCGCCCTCACCCCTCTCGGCCCCCCGTCATGCCCACACTACCTGAGGAAGAGGAGGACTCTCCCGAGGAGATGGACAGCTCCTCCAGCTCTCCCATAACAGTGAGTCCAGACATCTTTAACACCCGAACACATCATTCAATTTGGCTGCAAGAGAAGATCCCACCTTTGTTTTTACTAAAATCTGCTCCTGAAATGAGTTTGTTTCTCCTCCAGCATGTTGCTTTAAATTACAAGTAGAAGCTCCTGATTGGTCCCTCTTGAATTAAACCACATTGTACTTTTTATCAGCTGAACATTCCCGTCTTGCAGATGCTTCCTGTTCAAACTGAGGTATGGCCGTGCAGAAAAGAAAAGCAGAAGTGAAGAATTCTGCAAACTGAAACGTTGGCGCCGCGAGGCACGGTTGATTTTGGCCCTGCCTTAATTAGCTCCCACAGAAAGTCAACAAATGCGTCTCATTCACTCAATTTCTTGATGCTTTATGGGCATTTGAAGGTCTTTTATCACACATGACTCAAAAGTGAAGCCACCAGTGAGAAATAGACGATTTGAAAATTTTATTGTAAAGTTTATAAAATTCAGCTCAGTGTCTCAGGAACACTACAACGTTTTAGTCTTGTACAGCGTTTCTGACACCATTAGCCTGGCCCCAGCTTAAATAGTTGATTCCCAAGCTAAATAGGTGCATAGCTAAAGGATTGACTTCAAGTTTTGAAAAGATTAAAACGTGTGAAATTATTCAAATGTCACAGCTGCCATTTGCAATTTCCGAAACTATTAGGAAAATTTCTCACGGTTGGTGAGGTGCAGATGCAGGCAGACTCGGAGAGCTCAAATTAAAATAAAACTATTTAAACACAAGAAAACAAGGGGTTGACGAGGCAGCAACAACTTACAAAAACTCAGAGAGAGGAAGAGGACGAGACATCTGAAATGTATTCAGGATAATGAACCGCTGAGGCGGAGACAACCAAACTGAGTAAAACTGAACGTGGGAAAACCTGGACTGGATAACGAACGGGGACTGGAGAGGGTGGCAGGCTGCTGGAAAAACACGGAGGGTAACTGGAAGATGGAACAGGAAATACAAAAGCACATCAGATCTAAACTGAACAGGAAAATAGCATAATAAACAAATCACAAAAAAGTACAAATACGACAAATGTAAGTTCTGTAAACTTTTCTTATAAAAATACAAATGAGGTTACAAGATTAAATTATTTCTTATGCTAACTGGTGTACTGTGTCACAAACGATGAATGAGTGCAGAACTGCTGACTCGTTCCGTCGCTGCTGCTGCTGCTGCTGCTGCTGCTGCTGCTGCTGCTGCTGCTGC